TTAAACTGAAAACAATAAACCATTATTATTTAAAATTGACTAATTGGACTGAGATGTTAGGCCAATACATCTAACCATCCATCCATCCATCTTCCAGCCATTTCTCCAGTACAGGGTCACCGTGAACGCAGATGCTTTCACACGTAGGTGCGCTGAGCATTAAAACCTGACACTTGGTGCAAATTTGTACACCTGCCTCACATTGCCGACTCAGCCTTGAGCTGCTGGGTCACAGGACCACAGTGCCATCTGCTCCCGTTAGAAATCACCCAGCAGCACCACACCCTCCCTGAATGAACAGGATGACCTTGGCTGGTGTACTGTCTCTGGTACAGTATGAGTGTGCGTGTGTATGTGTGTGGGTCAGATATACATTACATTCTGGGGACCAAATGTCCCCACAATATGATGAAAACCTGTTATTTTGACATTGTGGGTGCCATTTTTTTGGTCCCCACGAGGGGAAAATTCAATTTGATAAAAAATCTGTGATTGCAATCAAAAAACTAAAAATGCTACAAGTCCTGTATCCTGTTTGGTTACGTATGGTTAAGGTTAGGGCTGGGTAAGGATTAAGGCTGTCATTGTTGGGATTAGGGTTTTGCCCATACGAATGAATGGACGGTCCCCACAAAGATATGAGTACAGGTGTGTGTGTGTAAGTCGGCTGGCGCTTAAGCAAAGGGGTTAAAAAGGGTGTCAAAATGGGTGCAGGAAATGCATCTCTGTGCCAGAGATGCACCAAAATAGGTGCATATATATCACAAAGTGTGAGGAGTATGAATCAGCACAACGTAAGAGACCAGCGCACACCCCCCCCTATATGCAACCTGTCCCTAGCATCTGCTGCTGTGTGCCAGGGGTCTCAGGCAAAATATTGGATTTGAAAATTAACAGGCAATTTTGAGTTATCGAATGTATTTGTGCTCATCGCTAAGCACCACCCCGCAGCCGTCACATGTCCGTAACCAAAACAAATCTGTCTGACTAAAAGGGGCACTTCTGTCAAGCGCCTAAAGTAGCGTTTACCAAACGGGTCAATGGGCTCCCCCAGACACTCCACGTTTTTGCTCCCTCCCAGCTTCCGGTAGGAGCAAAAACATGGACTGCCAGGGAGTCCCCGATGACCTGGTTGGGAAACACGACCCTAAAGCACGGACAGGCACACGCACAGACACGCTCCCGGGTCAAGGCCGGCCCCCTAGAGCCAGCTCAGAGAAGCGCAGGTGAGCCCTGACCTGGTGAAGTCAGCAAAGACCTTGAAGCAGCACTTACCGCAGTTCGGCACGGCTTCAGCTCTTCCCACAGCCTGCCGTAAAAAAGGCTCTCTCAGGTGCAGCATCAATATTTATGTGTTTGTTTTAATATTTATCGCTCATCAATATTTCATCGACATCGATCTTAAGGCATCTGCAACCTTTTGCGGAATGACGGCTTTCTACAGCGAGAGAGATTATCAAGTACAAAACACGCAGAGAAAACATGCACAGAGAGTCCTAGACCCAGACAGGGTGAGATTACTTAATAATAAATAAGATTAATAAAATGCAGTGAAACAGAAGCACAACATACTAAAATGAAGGCATTCATCCAACCAGGGACAGGGCATCTCCATGTTATTCTCCTACTGTCTCTACGCAACTGACCTCAGCTTCTCAAGTGTTTATTTTACACCTATAAAAGTCATACCATTTACAGATAAATATTTCCCTTTCCTTCACAGCTTCATAAGGCTACAGCTGTCTACACGAGGTCGCGGTTGTCACCTTCCTCCAGCACCAGGCCTGAGGGACTGGAGCTCAGGCTCAAGCTGTAACGTTTAACGCCAAATATCACGAACAGCGAGCGCCGTCCGTCAAATCGCACGCTTCCATTACAACCGGGTCCCGCGAGCCGCACTGAAGACCCACTGCCAGCTGGAGCAGAGTGGCGTCTGTCACCATTGACAACCCGCTGGCATCTGACTGGTCTGTCGTAGGAGCTGGTGCGGGGACCAGCCAAGGTATCCCGGCTGACGCAAATCCGTCTCCTGGGGGAAGCGGAGTCGAAGCGGGAGCCTGCGGCACGGCTCACGCTCAAACTGCCGCCTACTAGGGTTACCGGGAGGCTTGATGATGTCACGAGATCGCAGTCACACTCAGACAACATAGACCGGCTCCGGTCCCGGAAGCCCCGTCCAAAGTACACGTCACGGCCCAGCGGCAGTTCATCGTTAAAAACCACGGTGCCGCTCGCTCCCAGAGGCTCCACAGATACTTGCTGCTTTGAGATCTACGGGTGCCTAGAATCCCACACATTTACAGAGCATCACACCAGCTGGTGAAAATCTCCGGGCTAAACAGTCTAATTCTATTCAGCAGGACATATTAGGAATGCTAAATAATTCACTTCTGACACTGAAGCATTGTCCTTCATAGACATCAAAAATAATTGAGATATACTCTGCATTCACATTATAAATACTGGAAAACTGTTGATGTATTTCTGTAATACTCATCTAAACTTGCCTCCATCTATAGTTAACTCAGTTACTCGGCTAGCTTTTCCTGCTATTCCCGTGCTTCCTCATTCAGTAAGGATAGCCTGTTTTGCTTGTTAGATAGTTATTTTGGAGGTACACACACAAACAGGTTCTTGACCCAGGACGGCTCTGTGCTGAAAAACAGGGACGGAGTAATCTGTCAGCCGATGACAAGCAGGATTAGGTTGTGATCGTGTTTCTCAGCTTTACTCCAGCATCTGTCTTCGTTTATTGCACTGTCTGCACACGGCATGACACTCTCCGCGGCCCACCAGACACAATCCATCTCCCCAGGCGGAATTCGGAGATCAAGCCACCAGCAATGCAGATCTTAACCGGGGCTGTGTAGGAGCTGCAGCCATGTTTGCTGCCATCTTCTAAGCTTTTAGGTGTACCAGACACAAGTTACCCCATCACCGAATCTTACAAATCCCAGGCAGGAGACTGGAGTTCACCACTTGGGTCCAGGCTGATGGTCTACAACAGGCAGCTCAATGAATTACTGCTGGAAAGAGGCTGGCAGCCCTACTGCCTTTTAATCATGCGGCACCAGAATTCATTGGTATTCACATATCCCATCTTGTCCCCCTAAGAGACACACGCACATATTAAGGTGAAAGCAAAGCTTGGGGTCAAGGTGCCAGGGTGAGCCATTTTTCTGGGAATAGTTTTGTGAATTAAAGGCCCAATAGTCATATAATTACCCTGCCATGGGATTTGAATCAGTGACTTTCTGGCCACAGGGTTCAGATTCCTAACCCATGAACCACAAAGCCCCTCCTACACAGGAAACGGAGCATAAATTGTACAGAAAGAGCTACTGAGATGTAAGGCTACAATAGGGAGGAGTCTATCAATATTCCAGAGGGGACGCGGGAGACACGAGCAACGTGATCAGAAACGGAACCAAGCCAGAGTCCTCCTTCCCCGGAAACTGCACTGGGGGAGAGGACAGCGCCCAGACGCAGCAGGATCTGCGGGAGCCGACTTGGCCCAAGCCCCATGTGTCGAGGAGCAGGACGAGGAGTCTGTCGCGGTTTAGGGTCTGCGAAAACGACCGGGCTATTCAGAGGACGTGCCAAGAGCAAGGCGTGGGTTTCCTGCAAGGGGGGGGCGGGGGGGGGGGGGGGATCGCGATCCATATGACAAAAAAGAGCGCTAAAAATAGCCAGGGCACACGGGGGGTCAGCCCAAGCTTGCGGTGCGGGACAGTCCCATTAACAGGAGGGGTCTGTCGCCATCCCTCAGCTCGAGGGCTCTGTAATCACGTGCGTGTGGAGTACATGTACGCACACATTCCCCGTGGGTTTCTGTTTTTCTTGTCATGTCTACCTTGAGCGCCTTTAGCACATATTTCAGTACATTGTTTACGACTGTAAACGAGAATGTAAATCAAACTGGCAGAACCAGGTGTGGATCATGTAAACACGCTGCACCCCCTCCAATTTGCAGTTACCGTGCTATACTATCTGTTATGCCTCATGTGTAAGACTTAGGTTAGATGTTGGCTTCAAAAGATACAGCTAACCAAAAAAACAAAAAAACAAAGTGTTCTAACTTCAAACCCTGATCTTGTTGTTTAATAGTCAGAATTTCAGTAGCTGCTCATAAAAATGCTCCATTAAGAGAGATAAACCACAGCTTCCCAACGTCTTTGTTTTACAGAAAAGAAAATAGTGAGAATCCATCATCGTGGTGAAGGTTTCAGGTCAGCATGTCTAGGATCAAGTGTGGAAAACCAGGTTTACTGAAATGAGGGGCTGAAGGATTGTTTCGCAAAGGGGCGTCTCTCTGTCCTCGTCCCAGCTCTGGTACCTCCTGCCTGCTACAGCCCAGACGTCGTTCTCATTGACCAAGAGCAGCTGTCCTCTCCGCTTCCATGGTAGAGGTCATGACGGCATGTGGTGGGATCCTACTTTCTGGCAGAAGGCTGCACGTCTCGCCACAGATGCACCGGCATGCAGGGGATCTCTGCAAGACAGTTCAAGCCCAGCTGCGCCACGCCATGAAGATGGGCACCACATCAAGACTGTTGACAGCAGGACCACACAAAATCCACAACCACCACGTGACCACTGCCACTCCGAATCACCGAGAGCCACAGCTGCAAAGACTCTTATTTCACAAGGCACTTCTCAATGGTCTGTCTGTAACCACAATGGACTCCAGTTCCTGGCTGTAACTGGAGGTCAGAGATAACCAGCACAGGAACTAACGCCAAGGTCCTTTTTCCCCATATGCCAACCACACAAGAACCAAGCACCTGATGGGGGGGAAAAAAAAAAAAACACACACCAATGCAGGAGCAATTGGACTATCCAACCATTTTCACACGGCTGACATGGGCTTAGTTAACACATGGTAAACAAAGAGCGGGTGGCAAGCTGAACGGTATCAGCTCCTATACAGCAGGCCAGTAGCAACCCACCAAATGGGCAATAACACTGGGAATGTTTCCACTGGGAACAGTTACAAGGCGAACGTGCACAAGCTGGGAACGTGCGGGAGCGCGGGTGGGGATAAGATGAGGCATGAACGGAGAGACGGAGGGAAGAACTGGAAATAGAAAACAGGAAAGTGGAACTGACGTCGACTTTGGGGTAAGGAACGCAGGGTTCTAATCTGACATGGTCAGTACTGAAACCATAACTAGCATTTCTAAGTAAAACTCATATCTCCGTGACAACAATTACTAAATATTGCCAATAATCTTCTAAAATATTCCCAGCCTTTCAGGGAATGCTGGTTAAAAGACTGCAATGACATCATCGGCGAGCTTCATGACAGAAAGAGTGGCCGATGGGACAATAGGTGACATCCCCTTGCCCTCAGCTACGCTTCGAGTGGCGTGCAATTTCAGTGTCGAGTGCATGAGGGACCCTCTTATGCGCAAGACATGCAAGTGCAGATTCTCATAAACACAAATAACGCAGCAGGGTTTCAAACATTTGATAAAAATCATTTTTTCTCCCCCTTCTCTTTCTCCAGCTCAGTGAAAAGCCAGATACCTCGGGATTAACTGCCTGTGAGGAACTCAGGATCTCGCACATAAGAGAAGCCTAACCTTTACTACTCAGAATCCTTGCCTCTTTCAAGCCAGACACTGATCAAACACAGCAGCATGAGGAGTTAAGCAGGGCTCAGATGTCCTGATGTCTCATACGCAGCTCCATTCCCCGCCATCATCCCCCCAGAATCATCCGGCACCTTCCCCTGCCCAGCAGGTAACACAACTCAAGTCATTTCTTTTGTTAACACGTTTACAGCCTTCGATCCCATCCCCACTCCTACTATCAGACACTGGAACAGGGTCCCCATCAAAGACCAAGTAGGAAATGCAAAGGAAAGATTAAGAGAGAGAGATAAAACACGGCACAAAAGCGAAGGGCACCGGCGGTGACTGAGGAGATTAGCGAGAATAATCCTCGCACTGTGGTCACATCTGTGGGATTGGCAGCACTTCCTGACAAAACCCTGCAGTAGACAGAAACAAACTTCATGACAGAATGAGGTTTATATATATAAAAAAAAATATCTGCAGTTTTCTTTATTTCATTTAACGTGGACCAGTCAAAATTCCCCTTACGGTAAAATGTGGCAAACCATACAGATCTATTATTGGACTCCGCCATCTATGCTTAATTACAAAAGAAAGACCCTTTACTCAAACTCAGAAAATATAATGTCATTGTCTGAACACACCCATGCCCACAACAAAGGACTTCAGAGAAAGACGATGAGGCTGATCACCTAACCGATGTCCTACAAGACTCAGGACCTGCCGGCTCCTCATAGACACCAGGACTGAGATGCAGGCACACGACACAGCGAGGCTGTTAGTCTGAGCTAGCCCTCGGCAGGCCTCGACAGGCCAAAGCAGGTACGAGCTTGCCGGGACAGGCATGGAGCCGTTCACAGGCACATCCGAACAGGCCGGCCGCAGAGATCACTGCATCCAAATCATCTAAAAATCTGTATATATAGTGAAGCCACAAAATGCATTTTGGACAAATATACTTAATTAGTAAGCTGAAACAATGACTGATGTGGAGAAAGTACCAACCCACACAGCTGTCAGACGATAACGCCGGAGAAAACCTCTCTAAAGGGAATGCAATCTAACATGCTCAGGAAGAACGAAAGCTACGTATGATTACATAAAGCTAGTGCTAATTGTATTTTTGCCGGCAAAGCTGAAGCCTAAAGGGAAAATTATTTATATCAGATTGAAATTATAGAAGGGACACAAAACAGACATCTATTGATGTGAATAATAGATTTGCATGAATTTACATATAATGCACCTTCAACTGTGGAAATGACAACACATGTAGAATAAACTTTTTTTTTTTCTCTCTACTATAATGTAATAATGGCAGTTCTGCAACATAAATGGAATGAAAGTAACGAGAGAGCACGCCCTTTTGTTTAGCTGCTGCTGAGTGCTCATAAATTGGTTTTACTTTACTTCTGTAAGTCAACGGTCCTCCTTGTCTGGAGCGCTGGCCTGCAGTCCGCGATTTGCGTAGCTTCTGGTCTGTGGACCAGCCATACACTCCTATCACAATGCCACACAAACGGCATCAGCATATCCTCCTGCCACAATCTGCCAGGGTGAGGTTCACAGCGTGAGCCGTGCACCACCCGCCCACACAGCACCACAGCCAGACGAATGCACAACTGTACCCTCTTACTTTCATTTTCGTGATTTTACTCCCAGATGCAAGTGTTATCCATATGCAGCAGTCGACGACTTCTTAATATTAAAACACACCATGAACGGCTTCCTGCCAGACAGCTCTTCTGGGACTTCACTGCTCAGACATCAGAGTAACGTACTAGTTAGGATAACGTGATTATCCCAAGTGATTATAAAGATCTAAACAGGTCTGCAATTAAAAAATAAATAAATAAATAAATAAAAATAAAATTTGCAAGAGTAGGATATGGACCTGGAAGCAATGGAGAAAGGTTGCCTGGTCCAATGAGGGCAACTAGGTACGTTTTGAGCATCTGCCAGATATGAACCAACAATACTTAATGGTTATTAATTAATATTATATGGTTACTATTTACCATATTGTGTAAGCTGATGCAGCCAAGTGACAGGGCTAGCCTTCATTTTAGCAGTGATTATCTTGAGATACAAGAGTCGTAGAAGGAAAATTAAGCTACATAATAAGTCAAAGTGATGAGACAGATAGGCTAGGCGACTCGGAGTGGCTAAAGGACGCATAGCATGTACTTTTTTTGGCTAACTTCGTAGTATGAGTCTGTGGATGTCTTCTTATAGTATGTTCATGCATTACAGTCATGCTGTTGCGATATCCATGTTCTGTGAGGACAAGTGGGTATAGAAAATGGATGTATGGACGTCTGCATTTTCATTTACTTTTAATACAAAGTGCTCCCAAAAGAGGCAGGCTTTCCCTCTCTTTTTGATATACTATTTTAATTGATTGTTTTTGATAATTTTAAGCAAGTTACAGTACAATCGTGAGAGTGCTACAAAACACAAAAGCTAATATCATGTATTTTAAATCTTTTATGTAAAGACACGGGCAAAGGAGTTAAAAAACAGGCCCCTAACTGAATGTATTGGCCGACTTAAACAGTATTATGGAATAAAACAAAAGTCTTCTTTTTGGCTATCGAATTCTGGCTGTTCCCCTTCTCAGCTCATCTGGGCCATTTTAGCAAGTTTCATTTCCTCCATCTAAACACGAGGAACTAAGCATCAATAAAGAAGAACCGTTCACATGGACGCCTGGGGGTGGGGTGGGGTGGGCTTAAAACAAGAAAACACACAGAGATACATTTATTAAAGAGACTGATCCAAAAATCCTGAAGGTCTGCATTTTCAGTTTCACTGTCTAAAATAATGGACAGCAGAGAGCACTGTGTGGCTCTGCATTGCTGAAATGAATGGGATGACTGAAAACACAAAATCTAAACACTATACCGATAAACTGAACCAGAAACACAATTCCAAAATCAGGAGTGCGCAATGTTGCAAAATTTCTCGGCTTTTCAGTAAAATCTCGATCACCACAACAAGACCACTAGAACTTCTCTATAGTATCCTACACGGGATAGAAGGCACTTTCAGCGTACACACACTCACACGCTACATGCGGTTTGTGAGGCACCCATTCAGCTACCTGCATCTCTGACTGTGGACGGAACCCAGAGTACCCAGAAGAAAACTGCCCAAACATAGGAACACACACACAAAGCCAAGGGCAAGACCTGAACTCCAAACCCTGCAGACATGATGCTAAAGTACTAACCTCCCTTCACCCAACAACACAACCCAATGTCACATAAATTATTGCAGTTTTGAGTGACATAAATCCAGATGAAAGTCCAGAGTGAGAATCAAACGATGCACAGTCCTGAAAAATCACCAGAGTCACACATATAGACCACAACACCAAAAGCCATCATACTGGGGCCCAGCTCAATGTATTACACCTGATTCTGGAAAGAAAACCACAGGACCACTGGACCAGAATTCACTCCTTTTAGATTTAACTGCAATGTCTGTCCATCTATCCATCCATCTTCTGAAACCGCTTGTCCTATTCAGGGTCACAGGGGGTCTGGAGCCCATCCCAGAGGCACAAGGCAGGGTACAACCCAGGATGGGGCACCAACCCATCGCAGGGCACACTCACACACCATCCACTCACTCACGCACACCTATGTGCAATTTGGTAACTAACTGCGAAGTCCTTTGGCTTAAAGAACTGCGGGAGCAGGAAAAACATTAAACCCTTCGGCCACTGTCAGGAGCAGGAACAGGTTAGTGAGAGACAATGCCATTTCTGGAACGCTTCAGAGTCTAATTGCCTGCTGGATTTAACAGGTATATGTGAGCAGCGGCACACTGAATTAATAACTCTTCACGCTATACAACTTCAATAACAAAATGATCACTCTGCACTCTCCAGATAATGATCTGGCTGCAATAATGTTTAAGACTGGTTAATGAGTCCGCTTCCAACAAGCATGCAAAGTCTGTTGGTTATGAAATATATCACCCATACACATCATAACAATAGTCAATCTGGCCTTCACATGTGGAAAACAGGTTTCAGCATTGTGTAAATTTTCTGTGAATGCAATCTGTCACCTAAGCCCTTTCATTTTTAATTTGCACACCTGGTAGTATCCCAGCCAATTACAGCCTCCCTATTTCCCCTGTTCCTCACCTCAAATGCCTTTTAAGGTCAACAAAAAGCCTGGAGAAGATATGGAGTCTGCAATCCTGTGTGTCTGGTAGCTGTGCCTACGGTCTAAAAGCAGCACTTTCCACCTGCTGGCCAGGCCAGGTAAGGGGCGGGGGGGAAACAGACAGCAATCTCTTTATGGAGAGCTTCAGGAAGATTCTGCTGACTGCCTAAAAATGTGGGGAAGTCAGCAACAGCAGCCTCTGTCCCTGGCTTCAGCAAATCTGTCCCTGGCTCCACTGGAGCTGCTTGGCTCCAATCTTTGGCCCCTTCATTTTTTATTCCAAAAAGAAAACCAAAACCCCCCCCCCCCCGCCAGCTCTTTACCTTTCACAGTGCTACACTCTGAGAGAATGTGCAAAAATGAGGCAGTTTTAGCTTGCATATGTGGGTTTAACACCTCACATTCGTGTTTGGTGAACTGTTTTCCACATGTCTGCGTGTTTTTGCGCACAGTGCATCTAAACTGCGACAGCTGCATGTTAGTCTATTCTGGAATGCTGAGTTTCAGTTAAATTAACTATATATATACTCTTCTATATTCATAGTGTACTAACATGCCTGAAAGGGGCATTTCCTCTGGTAACAGTGTGTTGCCAACATCTCTTCACACAGAATATGTTCTCTTCCATTCTATAAGTTCTTGGCTCGGTCTATACGAGGCATTTTTTCTCACTATTGTAGTGACACACATTTCATATCTTTTCCAAGGGTTCTGCTTTTAGTAAGGAGAAGAAGACACCTTAAAGTCTCACGATTCAAGGAACAGTTTATAATACTTTCTTAGCAAACGCGTTATTTGCTTATCAAGCAGGGCGTCCTTAATGCACTTCCCATCATGCAACAGCATCTGGAGGAGGTAGCCAGAAACTTTAGCGCTGGAACTGAGAAGTTCACAGACTGCCCTTCTAAGTGTGTTTGACTAGAAAACCTGAAAGCCTCAATTCTCAGCTGCCACCAAGGTGTGGAATCCAGGAAGATTTTGAAATGTGCCTCTCAGAAACCACAAGAGCCCACAGAACCCAGCAAAAAACAAGGCAGGCTTCACAACTGAGCCACTCAGAAAGTTCCAGACAGGAAAAGTCAGACCAAACTGAAGAGTCTTGGAAAAAAAGAGCATGTCATGTTCCATAGAAACCAGCACCCGTTAAAACTATATCTCAGAGTTCCTGGATGTCTTTCAACCCTGAACATGAAAAGTCCACAGGATGCTTCACTTTGTCCACTGGGGACATGACCACTTGGTCCAGCTGGAGTACAAATAAATGCAGAGCACTATTCCAAAGCTTCAGCATTAGGGAGAACATCATCCCTATCACTGTTGTCTCAACAGCCACATCCCTCTATTTTTTTAAGACCCACACTGATTGCATCAGCAGACCATACAAACCAGCAAGAGTCAATAGCCAGGGAGCAGCTGGCCTTGTAGGGTAACCCACTGTCCATGACCCTGCACACGGTCAGCGATGTAAAGCAGTCCCAGTGTGCTGCAGATCGCTGAGCACCTTGCACACCAGAAGCCAGGAATATCATGACAAAAACCTTCAAGCTGTTTTGCACAAGATTCACATTTTAGACCCTAACAAAAATGTCCATTCAAACAAACACGAAATCAATCCATGCATCCACATATGTTCTACAATTGAGCTAAAAGGTGCAAGTCATTTAAAAAAAAAA